CAGTCGGGGCTGGCCCAGGGCGTGATAGGGGGCGGGGGCAGCAGGGGCGCTCTCCCTGGCAGTCGGGCTGGCCCCAGGGCGGTGATGGGGGCGGGGGCAGCAGGGGCCTCTCCCTGGCGTCGGGGCTCCCCAGGCGTGATAGGGGGCGGGGGCAGCAGGGGGCGCTCTCCCTGGCAGTCGGGCTGGCCCCAGGGTGGTGATGGAGCGGGCGGGGCAGCAGGGGCCTCTCCCTGGCAGTCGGGGCTGGCCCCAGGGCGGTGATGGGGCGGGGGCAGCAGGGCGCTCTCCCCTGGCAGTCGGGCTGGCCCCAGGCGTGATGGGGGCGGGGGCACAGGGCGCTCTCCCTGGCAGTCGGGGCTGGCCCCAGGGTGGTGATGGGGGCGGGGCAGCAGGGGCGCTCTCCCTGGCAGTCGGGCTGGCCCCAGGGCGGTGATAGGGGGCGGGGGCAGCAGGGGCGCTCTCCCTGGCAGTCGGGGCTGGCCCCAGGGCGGTGATAGGGGGCGGGGGCAGCAGGGGGCGCTCTCCCCTGGCAGTCGGGGCTGGCTCCAGGGCGGTGATGGAGCGGGGTGGGGGCAGCAGGGGGCGCTCTCCCCTGGCAGTCGGGGCTGGCCCCAGGGCGGTGATGGAGCGGGGTGGGGGGCAGCAGGGGGCGCTCTCCCCTGGCAGTCGGGGCTGGCCCCAGGGCGGTGATGGGGGGGCGGGGGCAGCAGGGGGCGCTCTCCCCTGGCAGTCGGGGCTGGCCCCAGGGCGGTGATGGGGGGCGGGGGCAGCAGGGGGCGCTCTCCCCTGGCAGTCGGGGCTGGCCCCAGGGCGGTGATAGGGGGCGGGGGCAGCAGGGGGCGCTCTCCCCTGGCAGTCGGGGCTGGCCCCAGGGCGGTGATGGAGCGGGGCGGGGGGCGTGCCGTGGGGAGCGGGATGGGGGTGCAGCAGGAGTTGCTGGCCCCAGTATAGGGCTGCTGTGGGGCTGGAGGTGATCTGTGGGTTAGGGATACAGCAGGACTTCGCTTGCTGACCATTCTTGGCCCGGCCACAAGGCTTGGGATGCGGATCCCGGCACTACGCCCCCCTGACGCTGCCAGGCGGAGGGAGGGAGGGAGGGGAGTGGGCAGTGGATGCTGCTGGGCGAGGGGCTCTCGGGTGGTGGGGTCCGATTGCTATGTGGAGCCTTGGGCCAGCCCCAGTGTGAGGGGAGGGATCGGCCCCCAGGGAGTGGGGACCAGGCCTGAAGCCATCATGTGCTGTGCATCCCCCCAAAAGGAAAGGGCCTCCCGCCCGGGGAGCAGCCTGGTACAGGGCAGTGCCTCAGCCCAGGGCCCCCTGATGCTGGTGTGGGGGGCTCCTGTCCATGGGCTGCAGCCTCTTGGGATCTTGGGGGGGTCCTTGCGAGTGGAGCCTGCGCTGGAGGTGGGGGGCAGGGGGAGGCAATCTGCTCTGCCTTGGGGGTCGTGGGCGGGCGGGCGTCTGTCCTGTGCGTTGACTCTCCGCATGTTGCATGGCCACTGACTGACCGACTGACCCCCGCCTGCATGGTCCCCCGGCCCGTCTCCTACCCCCCCATCCTGGTCTCTCTTACACCCCCCTGCCCATCTCACTGGCAACCCCCCCCCCCCCCGGCTGCCGCTTTCTCCTCCTCTTCTCTCTGCAGCCCCTTCCCCACGGCTGGGCCAGGCCCGACCCGCCTTCCAAGCCTCTCCCGCCTGACCCGCTTCCCAAGGAATCCCAGGTAACGTCCTTGGGCCCTGCCCGGCGCGGATGGGGGCCCAGGGCAGCGGCTGTTCTAACCCCCCCGCAGAGGCTCCTGCATGCCTGTCACTGCATGTCCTCCCAGCGGGCACCCGGCTGACCGGGTCTCTGCCCCCACGTGGCTGGGCTCCAGGGCTTGGCTCTGCCTCCCCTCCCGTGCACGGGGGGGTGATGGGGTCAGAGCAGCAGCGGAGAGCAGGGCCTGAGTGTGAAACTGGCGCCCGCAGGTTCTGGGGGGCTGCCCCATCCCACCACCCCACGTCACCCGTAAGTCTCTCTTCCCCAACCCCAATGTGGGGGCGGGGTGTAGCCCCATGGGCCAGGAACCCCCTGTGCTGGGCTGTGGGGTCCTGGGTGCTGCCATGGGATGGAGCAAGCACCCAACATGTGGCCTTTGCCCCAAAGTCTCCGCCAAGCCTGACCCACACACCCGCGCCCAGGGGCCCCGCGCACCCTGCCCTAGGCTCTCATGCCTGGCCACGGGTGGTGCATTAGGCTGGCAGCTCCCACGGGCCCCCTGGCATTGCAGCTCCTTCCCTTGGGGCTGCCCCTGGGTGGGGAGATTGTAGCTCCCGCCCATGGCGTTGGTCTCCCCGCAGGGCAGCCCTGGCCCCACTCTGTCCCTGGAGCCCCTGACCCGGCGCTGGGCTCACATCTCCCCCCAGCTGGGGCAGGCAGGACCTGCCTCCTCCCCAGGGGTCTGTGCGGACCCCCAGCAGCCGCCAGCGTGGGGCGCTGTGTTTGTTTCATTGTCTCTCTGCCCAGGCCTTGCTGCGGGACAGGCCGCCCCCCCCCACGCGCCCGCTGCCTGCAGACCCTGTGCTGAAAGGCACTCAGGTAACGGCGCCGGTGGGCGCCACGCGGGGTGATGGTGACGGTGGCGCGGTCTGCGTGTGGGGAGGGACGTCTGGCTGTGGGGCCAAGCAGGTGCCAGGCTGCCCGTGTGGGGTGGGGGGGATCGACCTCGTCTCCCCCCGAGGGATGTGCAGGGCATGGCGGGGGGTGGGGGGCCTGCACGGGGCCCCAGGACATGGGCCCTCCTCAGTAACTCGCCCTGGTGTCTCTCCGCAGCCTCCAGGCCCTGCCAAGCCACCCCTGCCCAGGAGGCTGCTGCCCTCGGACCCCACTGGGCCCCTCATCTCCAGGCCTGAGCTGTCCCCTGTGCCCTCCTACGTCCCCCATGTCATGGTGCTGCCCTCCAGGTGAGTGCTGGCTGCAGACATGGCTCCGGGGGCGTCTCGCTCGCTGGCACTAGGGGGTGGGCTGAGCTGGGACTTTTGGGGGGTGACTAAGGCAGACACCGCCACTCCCCCGCCACTTATCTGTTTCACATTTCCTCTTTCCTGCCTCCCCCAGGCCAGCTCCCCCACCCCCCGCTGGGCATCTCCAGGACATCTAGCGTGAGACGGATACTGCTCCCTGTGTGTGGGCTGCCTGGCCTCAGGAACCTCCCGTCCGTCGCTGCCTGTTGGACTCAGGGTTCCTGGCCCCTGCGTCGCTGGCATGGCCCCCCATGTCCCCTCCGTCGCTGACTCTGAAAGGTCCCAAGCGCTGGGATCTCTTTCTGGGCTCCTCCCGCCTCCCTCACGGAGGTGCCCTGCCCGCCAGCTCGGGGACGCTGCAGAGCTGGATCAGAACTTGCCGTGGGCTGCTGGAGTCTTGGCCTGTTACGGTCTGTGCTGTGGACGCTGTTCCTGGGTCTTTGCCCAAAGCCCCTCGCCTGCCCACACCCTGCCAGGGCGCCATCCCCTCGGCTGGACCTGCCAATCCCCTGGGAATTGGGCCCCAAGAGCCCCTGGGTGCTGGGGACTCCGAACACTGGGTGTGGCTGGGCGCACCCCAGGGGAGCGGCTGCGTCTGGGCAGGGAGCACAGGTGAGAGTGGGTGCGTGCCGGAACTTGTCCTGGGAGATTCGGCACCGCCAGAGCCATTCACAGGGACGCTGTGTGGGGAGGGACTCCCTGATGGGGGCTCCCCCTTCCTCTGGGGCGCTGGCTGCTTCTGAACCTGCTTTAGATCATCTGCAAACTGTCTAATAAAGAGTCTGGGAGCTGCCTGAGTTAACGCCTTCTGCTCCAGCGTGAATTCTCTGTGCCCCTGGGAGTGGCATGTCGTGCTGGCCAGGGCCCAGGCAGTGCCCAGGGCAGAGCCCAAGCTGCCCATCCTGGGGCCGGCTCTCCCTTGGGGGGCATGCGGTGCTCTTGTGACCCCAGGAGGCCTCCAGGGGGCTCAGATCCCTTCCCCATGTGGCCTAATGGAGGCTTCAGGGGGGTTCCCCTCAGCCTTGGGGTGCTGCAGGGTGTCACAGAGTCACCAGGCAATGCTCTGGAACTAGGGGGGAGGGATAGCTCAGTGGTTTGAGCATTGGCCTGCTAAACCTAGGGTTGTGATTTCAATCCTTGAAGGGGGCCATTTAGGGATCTGGGGCAAAAATTGGGGATTGGTCCTGCTTTGAGCAGGGGGTTGGACTAGATGACCTCCTGAGGTCCCTTCCAACCCTGGTATTATATGACATTATATATGACATATACTCCATATAATGCCACCCCTCCCGCCCTGTGGGGCGCTGTGGCAAGGCCCAGACCCAGAAACAAATTTCTAATGCCTCCTCCCGTCAGGGCAGGCCAGCGGGGGGAGCGCTCTGAGCTGGTGCCATTGGCCTGCCCAGGTCTCTCCTGGCCGGGGGGCTGGGGTTGGCCTGGCTGCTTGCTGGAGCCAAGACCCCAAAATTCCCCCGGTGGTTACCCCAATGCTCCACTAGGTGGCGCAGTGGCTCAAGCACTGGCCAGGCAGCCTGGGCTTGGAGGGCTGGGGGATCCCCGGGAGTGGGGGACTGTCTCTATTCCCAAGGGGGCACCCCTTCCCCATACATACACCACGACCTCTGGGGCAGGCTTGGGGGGGCCCCTCTGCCTCTGGGCAACTTCCCCCTGGGGGCAGACTCTCCATCACCCTCAAGCTCGCCCATGCCCTGTTCTCCCAGCGCCCCGCAGGCCAGGGGGTGGCCCCCAGAGCTAGGAGCTATGGACGCCCTATGATGGAGCAGGGTGGATTGACCGGGGAATGGCGTCTAGTTCTGCTGGGACTGTCTGCGCAGGGGATGGAGGAGCCGGGGGTGACTCCGCTGGAGTGAGGAGACCCGAGCCGGAGCTGGGGGGTTCGACCCAGGTGACACCTTTGCCTGGGGAATGTGGACACAGGCTGCAGGAGGAGCCAGGGGGAGGAGGAGCGGGACTGGGGGGGGGGGGGGGGGGGTTTGGTTTCAGTTTTGGGCTGGGTGGTCGAACGCAGGGAACCCCAATGCTGGGGTCTAAGCTCCCTGCTCCCCCAGAAGGATTATGACTGAGGGGTCCTGGTTGTACCCACAAGCTCTGTTTTGGACTGTGTTCCTGTGGTCCAATAAACCTTCTGTTTTACTGGCTGGCTGAGTCTCGCTGTGAATCCCAGGAAGAGGGGTGCAGGGCCTGGACTCCCCCACACTCCGTGACAACTGGCGGCAGCCGTGGGATCTACTGCACCCCATGGACAGCGCTTCCTGCAGTAAGTGACTGGGGAGCAGTAAAACGAAGGGGGATTGACGGGGACCAGGCGTGCTGAAGATTCAGAGAGAGACGGTTTCGGGGGCGGTTAACCCCCGGGAGTGTGTGACCAGAGAGAAGGACTTTTGCAGTAACAGGGTCCCCCGGGGGATTGCAGCCAGTGGTCCCAGGGGCGGAGGAGTCTGCAGCTCGACCCTGGCAAAGAGGTGGTGACCTCGAGAAGAGCTGGCACCCTCGGGGTTCTCCCTGGAGTCCGTGGGGAGCTGAGAGCACACAGGCCTGAGAGTGGCCAGCAGGGAGATGCATAGCAAATGCCTTAAGAGCGACCTGGTGGAGCTGTGCAGGCAGAGTGGTGAGCCTCCCAATACGCAGACCCAAGAACAGCTGATTGCCCAGCTGGAGGAGGGAGATCGCTCGAACGAACCGATCCCTGTCTCTGAGGGAAGCAGCCTGGCAGATGCAGTGCAGACACCGGTGTCTGTCCCAGCGGGGAGCAAACAGGTGGCTGCTAAGGGCTTCCCGAGACCCCTCCTACCTATGCCTAGTGGAAGGGCCGGGAGGAGCGCAGTGGATACTGAGGGCACTGTGACCCCTGCGGCCAGCAGGGGACCCTCCTGGCAGAGCTCCCCATCGCTGGAGCTGAGGGGGCTGCACTGGGAGAAGGAGCTAAAACAGAGAGTTGGAGCTCACGCAGCGGGAACTGCAGGAGGAGCGGGAAAAGCAGCATCAGCATGAGCTGGAGGAGAAGGAGAAACAGAGGCAGCATGAAGAGAAGCAGAGACAGCATGAACTGGAGCTGGCCAGGCTGAGGAGCAGCGAGCCCCTGGCTGCGGTGAGTGATGGGGGACCCAGGACGGCACGGAGCGTTGATAAGTGCCTCCTGGTCCAGCGTAAGGAGGGGGAGGACATGGATGACTTCCTGAATGCCTTTGAGACGGCCTGCGAGCTGCACCAGGTTGATCCTGCAGACAGGCTCCGGTCTCTCACCCCCTTACTGGACCCCCAAGGCCGTGGCATTGTACCACCGACTGGAAGGGACGGAGAAAGGGGACTACGAACTACTCAAAAAGGCCTTGCTACATGAGTTTGGGCCGACTCCTGAGATGTATCGGGAAAGTTTCCGGAGTCCGCATAAAACCCCTGAGGCCACCTATCTGCAACTAGCCGTCCGCATGGAGAGAGATGCCACCAAGTGGGCAGAGGGGGCCCAGACGGAAGAAGACCTGGTTAAACTGATCATACTAGAGCAACTGTATGAGCAGTGCCCATCCGACCTGAGGCTATGGTTGGTGGACGAAAAGCTAGAGAAACCGTGACATGCAGGGCGGCTGGCCGATGAGTTTGTGATGAGCCGGACAGGGTGGCAAGGAGGAGTCCCAGAGGAACAGGCCCCCATGATGCAGAGAGTCACCATGGGACCTCCCAGCAGGGAAATATGGAGAACCCCTTCCCAAGGGGAACATCCGGCGTCAGGGCCAATCAACCGGCTTGAGGAGACCAACGGGACATTGGCTGCTATTACTGTGGCCAGAGGTGCCCCAAGCTCAGGGACAGACTGAGCAGACCGAACCCACCCAGAGTTAACTGGGTAGGGACCCAGCCAGATGAGGGGCAGGCTTCCCAGGCAAGGGGGGCTGGCAGCTTATCAACTGCTCAGGAGGGGGAGGGCCCCAGGCCAGCTCCTCTCGGCGGTTGGATGCCCGGACTCAAGGTTCTTGGTTTACAGGATGGGCACGGGGCTGTCCCTCCGGAGAGAGTGCCTTGTTCCCTTGGAAGTGAATGGAGGAAGGTCAATGGATACTGGGATACGGGCGCGGAGGTGACGCTGGCCCAGCCTGAGGTGAAGGCCCCAGATCGGGTGGTGCCCAACACCTACCTGACCCTGATGGGGGTGGGCAGGACCCCATTCAAGGTGCCCGTGGCAAGGGTACACCTGAAATGGGGGGCCAAGGAGGGCCCCAAGGACGTGGGGGTACACCACCATTTGCCCACTGAAGTTTTGATGGGGGGAGACCTAGAGGACTGGCCAAGCAAGCCCCAGACTGCCCTGGTTGTGACGCGTAGCCAGAGCCGGCGAGGGGCCCTGCACCCTGACCTCGGGGAGGGTACCACACCGGAGGCGCAGGACCCTACCCTGGTGGGGAGGGAGCGCCGAGGGGCACGGCTCAGAGAGGCGGAGGCCTCAGACCCGGCCAGCGATAGGGAACTGGGCCCCATCCCTTCCCCAGCTGCTGAGTTCCAGGCCGAGTTGAGGAAAGATCCCTCCTTGTGGAAGCTCAGGGACCAGGCCGACCTCAGTGTGGTACGGACCATGAGGAGAGGCTGCCAGGAGAGGTTCCTGTGGGAGAAGGGGTTCCTATACCGAGAATGGGCTCCCCCAGGGGAAGTGGAGTCCTGTGGGATCAGGAGGCAGCTGGGGGTCCCCCAGAAGTATCGCCGCAAGCTCCTGTACCTGGCCCATGACATCCCCCTCGCAGGGCACCAGGGAATCCGGCGCACCCGGCAGAGGTTGCTACAGAACTTTTACTGGCCCGGGGTCTTTACCACGGTCCGGCAGTATTCCCGATCCTGTGCCCCCTGTCAGAGGGTGGGGAAGGCCCAGGACAAGGGGAAAGCGGCTTTGAGACCTTTGCCCATCATAGAGGAGCCTTTCCAGAAGGTGGCCATGGACATCGTGGGGCCTCTCAGCAAGATGACCCGGTCGGGGAAGAAATACATTCTGGGGGTGGTAGATTTTGCCACCCGCTACCCCGAGGCAGTGCCCTTAGCTTCCATTGAAGCCGACACCGTGGCCGATGCTCCTGACCATTTTCAGCCGCGTGGGGTTCCCCAAGAAAGTCTTGACAGACCAAGGCTCCAACTTCATGTCGGCCCTGCTCCGGTGCTTGTGGGAGAAATGTGAGGTCCGGCACGACTGGGCCTCAGCTTATCACCCCCAGTCCAATGGGCTGGTGGAGAGGTTTAACGGGACGCTAAAGATGATGCTGAAAACCTTTATGAACCAGCACCCGCAGGATTGGGACAAGTACTTACCTCACCTGCTGTTCGCATACAGGGAGGTGCCCCAGGAGTCGACCGGATTTTCGCCTTTCAAACTGTGATATGGCAGGAGGGTGAGGGGCCCCCTGGACCTGAAGAGAGACTAGTGGGAGGGGAAGGCCACTCCCGATGGAGAGTCAGTGGTGGAGTATGTCCTGATCTTCCGAGAGAGACTGGCTGAACTCATGGGCCTGGCCAGGGAGAATTTAGCCAGAGCCTAGAGGAAGCAGAAGGCCTTGTAGGACCGCACAAGGATCCGGTGATGGTTCTCATCCCTGTGAGAAAGAACAAACTACAGGCCGCCCGGGAGGGCCCTTTCAAGGTTGTCAAGCAGCTAAACGAGGTAAACTATGTGGTGGAGCTGTCGAACTGGGCGCACCACCGCCGGGTGTACCATGTGAATATGATGAAGCCATATTATGCCAGGGGGAATGTGGTGTTGGCCGTGTGTGGACAGTGGGAGGAGCAGGGAGATGACCCTTTAGTAGATCGATTTCCTGGGACCAGAGCTGGTTCCCCCCTGGAAACAATTCCCCTCTCGGATCAGCTAACCCCTGCCCAGCAAGCTGAGGTCAGGGAGGTGCTGCATCCGTACCGACAGCTGTTTTCCAGCCAGCCTGGACGCACTAATCTGACTGTCCACCGGGTGCAGACAGGGTCGCACCCGCCGATAAGATGCTCCCCCTTCCGAGTCACAGAGAAAACTGCTCAGGACCTGGAAAGAGAGGTCCGGGACATGCTGGCTTTGGGGGTGATCCAGCCATCGGCCAGCCCTTGGGCCTCACTGGTGGTGCTGGTCCCCAAAAAGGACGGGTCGGTCCGGTTCTGCGTGGACTATCGGAAGCTCAATGCCATCACTGTATCTGATGCCTACCCCATGCCCAGGCCGGACGAGCTCCTAGACAAGCTGGGAGGAGCTCGGTACCTTACCACCATGGACCTTACAAAGGGCTACTGGCAAGTGCCGCTGGATGCAGATGCCCGGCTGAAATCGGCCTTTATCAGCCCTCTGGGGCTCTGCGAGTTCCTGACCCTGCCTTTCATCCTCAAGCGAGTGCTGGCCACCTTCAGCGCATGGTGGACCAGCTACTGAGGGGAATGGAGAGTTTTGCCGTGGCGTATATTGATTGCATCTGTGTCTTTAGCCAGACCAGGGAGGACCACGTGTCCCAGGTTAGACAAGTGCTGGACCAACTCCAGGAGGCGGGACTGACCGTAAAAGCTGAGAAGTGCAAGGTGGGGATGGCGGAAGTATCTTACCTGGGCCATCGGGTGGGGAGCGGCTGCCTAAAGCCGGAACCAGCCAAGGTGGAGGTGATCATTGACTGGCCCGCTCCCCACACCAAAAAGCAGGTCCAGGCCTTTATTGGGTTGGCGGGATACTATCGAAGGTTTGTGCCCCACTTTAGCGCCATAGCCACCCCCATCACTAGTGTTCACCGACGCCTTAGACACGGGACTGGGGGCGGTGTTAAAGCAGGAGGATGAAAAGGGGGAGAGACACCCCATCGTGTACCTGAGCAAGAAGTTGCCACCCCGGGAGCAACACTACGCGGCCATCGAGAAGGAGTGCCTGGCCATGGTGTGGGCCCTCAAGAAACTAGAGCCCTATCTCTTCGGGCGACACTTCACCATCTACACCGACCACTCTCCCCTGACCTGGCTGCACCAGATGAAATAATCCTGCAGAAGCAGGCTCCTGACATGGACGTGGTCCACGTGAAGGGAAGTGCCAACATGTTAGCGGATGCGCTGTCCCGGAGAGGGGGCCCCGAACTTCCCCAGGTCACTGGTCAGAGTGACCCTGCTCAGTTCAGTCTCGAAGGGGGGAGAGATGTGACAGAGCAGGGACTGGGGAGGATTGACCGGGGAATGGCGTCTAGTTCTGCTGGGACTGTCTGCGCAGGGGATGGAGGAGCCGGGGGTGACTCCGCTGGAGTGAGGAGACCCGAGCCGGAGCTGGGGGGGTTGGACCCAGGTGACACCTTTGCCTGGGGAATGTGGACACAGGCTGCAGGAGGAGCCAAGGGGGAGGAGGAGCGGGACTGGAGGAGGGGGGGGGGTTTGGTTTCAGTTTGGTGCTGGGTGGTTGAACGCAGGGAATCCCAGGGCTGGGGTCTAAGCTCCCTGCCCCCCAGAAGGACTTGACTGAGGGGTCCTGGGTGTACCCACAAGCTCTGTTTTGGACTGTGTTCCTGTGGTCCAATAAACCTTCTGTTTTACTGGCTGGCTGAGAGTCTCAGTGAATCCCAGGAAGAGGGGTGCAGGGCCCGGACTCCCCCACACCCCATGTCATGCCCCCCTGGGGTGCTGCTGGGGTGTGTTGGCATCACTCCCCCCCCCCGGCTCAGCTTTAGGAGCCCCCGCAGCTGGCAGTTCCTGTCGTCCCCCCCCCCCCCAACGCCTGGTGCAGCCCCAGAGTGTGGCCCCAGGATCTCACTCCCATGCCCCAGCTCAGCCCGGTGGGGTCGCTGCTGGTCTGTGCTGCCAGGCATCGGCTCGATGGGCAGGGCTGTGCCCGGGGGGGGGGGGGGCGGGTGTAGTATGTCCCGTGGCTCTGGTCCTAGGGTGAGTCCTGGCTTCTCCCCTGCGCCAGCCCAGGGAACTAGCATAAAGGCTGCTCTGCGTGCTCCAGAACCCTCGGCGCGTCTGTCCGGCTGCACCGCCCCAAACCCGGGAACAAAGTCTCTCTTGTGCTGCCTGGCCGCACGGAGCCGCTTACCTTTTATTGCCACTGGGGCTCTGTCATGGCCCTGGCTACGTGACAGACCCGGCTGGGGGAGGCTGTGCTGGGAGTGCAGCCTAACCAGGCTGGGGCGGGTGCTGCTTAGATAGGGGAAGCCGGCCCCAGCCCTTGCCCCAAGACTCCAGCTGGCTCTGGAGAGTCGGAGGGAGGTGGGATGCCTGACAGCATGGGGGCAGGGAGAGGCCTTGGGTCTGGGATGCAGCCCCCATAAGAGTGGGGTGCATTGTGGTGCTAGGGACTGTGCCCCTGGGGCAGGGAACACATCCTGACCCTGATGTGGGGGGCTGAGGCTGCATTGCTGGGGATGTTTCACACTTGGCTGCAGAAAGCTGGGGGGGCTGTAGGGACTGAGTGGCCTGGAGCTGGGCAGATGGGGGCTGCTGGGGGTGTCCCAGGGCTGCTAGGTGAGTGCAGCTGGACAGCATGAGCCTCAGCCAGGAGATGGGGTGGAAAGAGCGCAGGGAGGACAGGTCCATCCAGGGCCTCCCTGGCTGTGCTGTTGAGGGAGCTGGCTATCGGGCCGGAAGATGGGGACTGTGGCACCGGGCTGGCTTTAGCAGCCCTCTCCTGGCTCCTTGCCAAGCCCGGCTGGGACTTTGGAAAACTGTCAGGAAAAGTGCCCAAGCTGCCTCTGAAGGGATCCTCGCCAAACGCAGCAGTTAGGACCGGCTACACCCTGAGCCCACCGAGCACCCCTTGCGCTTCTGCTCCCCCCAGCAGCCCAACCAGGAGCCATGTCCCCACTAATGTTAGGGGAGGCCCCCCAGGCAGGCCCCCCTTTGGGTGAGATCTAGAAATGATCTGCTTCCCAGAGATAAGGGGAAGGTTTGACCAGCCTGGGGTGGACACTGGCAGTTAGGATGCCTGGGCTCTAGTTCCAGCATGGGGAGGGGAGAGGGGTCTAGTGGGGTCCTTGATGCAGGCCCAGGTGTGTCTGGGGTCAGCGTAGGGAGGTGATTTTACCCCCCTATTGGGCACTGGGCCCTGCTGGAAGCCAGGGGCCAACAATCTAAGGGTGCTGATAAGCTGGCAAGGGGGCAGAGCGGAGCCCCCAGCCTGATAAAAAGGGTTAGAAGAGGGACCCAATCCCGCCAGGCTCCAGGGGGCAACTGGGTTAGTTTATGAGAGTGAAGGCCTGGCCTGGGGGGATGAATGGGATCTCCGAGCACTCAGCAGCCCAACCAGAGCCCATGGCTGGAAGGGGGAGCCAGCCAAATTCAGACAAGACATAAGCTGCCAGTTTTTAATAAAAAGAAAAGGCGTACTTGTGGCACCTTAGAGACTAACCAATTTATTTGAGCATGAGTTAGTCTCTAAGGTTAGTCTCTAAGGTGCCACAAGTACTCCTTTTCTTTTTGCGAATACAGACTAACACGGCTGTTACTCTGAAACCTGTCAGTTTTTAATAGTGACTGTAACACCGGGCCAGGCAGCGGGCCACAGGCTGGGGGATTTTCCGTCCCTGGCAACCTTTACAAAGCACAGGCGGGTCCTTGTTCCCAGGGTTCAAACAGGACCAAAGGTGGGGATGGGCCCTGGCCTGGGTGAACCCAGGGTTCCTACCTGGCCTTATCATTCATGCAGCGTTTCTCAAACTGGGGGGGCTGACCCCAAAGGGCGTCACAAGGCTAGTGGGAGGTTGGGAGAGCAGTGGTGGCTGGCCGAGCACCCAGCTTTTCCGAAGGCAGTGCCCCCGCCAGCAGCCGCGCAGAAGTGAGGGGGGCCTGGGTAGGGGGGGTCGTCAGAGCCTGAAATATTTTCAGCAAAAAAAGTGTGAGCCCCCCCACCCCGGTCTCGGGGTTTGACACAATGAAGCCGGGGGGGGCGGGGCAGGGGCTCACAAGAGGGCCCTAGCGGTGCCCCTCACCCTGTAGGGCACATCCTCGCTCTGGGGTGACAGTGGGGGCTAATGGTTAGAGCAGGGCAAGGCCGGGGGGCAGTCAGGGGGCTGCTGCTGGGCCTAGGCTGAAGGGATCAGCCCTGGGGGGCAGGATGTGGGGGGACACAACGGGGGAGCAGGAGGGTGAAGCTGCTCAGCACTCCCGGAGCTGGGGTGGGGGAAGGGGCCGTTTTCCGCGGGGAAATGGGGACAGAACCGGCGGCCGGGAAAGCTTGGGCCCAAATATTTGGGGGTTTCCCGTTTCCATGGAAACCCCTTTGCTGGGCCCAGCCCCCCATGCAACGCTGCCGGGCTCACGGGCCCCTCGTGGAGCGGGCTCGCTTCGGCTCGCAGTGTGAACGCCCCGGCCTGGAGGGGTTCGCCGTGGGGGGGTCCGAAAGCGCCGCGCCTCCCCCGGGTAGGCCCGAACCCCCCCGTGCCCGCTGTTCGTGCAGCCCCCGCCCGGCTCCGCGCGAGCTGTTAACGGGGGGCGGCGGCGCTCGGCCCCCAAAGGGTTAAGCTGGGACTTGGGGAACTTTGTTCGGGGTGGCTGCGCTCCGGCCGCTGATTGGCCCGAAGTTGGAGCTGGGGGCGGGGCCTGCCCTGCCCCCCGCCCGGTCCCCCTCCGCCGGCCCGCCCGCCCGCCGGCCAGTCCCCCGCCCGGCAGCCCCGCGCTCGCCGCCCGACCCGGCCGGAGCGATGTGCCCGGCGCTGCTGCTGCGGCTCCTGCTGTGGGGGCCGCTGCTGTGGGGGCGGCTCCGGCCGGTGCGCGGCCTCCGGCACAGCGTCTACTGGAACTCGAGCAACCCCAGGTACGGCCCGGCCCGGCCCGGCTCGGCTCGGCCCGGCCCGGCCCGGCCCGGAGCCGCCGCGCCCGGGGGCCGGCCAGGGAGCGGGGACGCTCGGGGCGCCTGCCCGGCTCTGCGCGCTGGGGACGGCTCCGTGGCTGGGGGTCCCCGGCGGCCCCGGCTCTGCGCTGCGCGCCTGGCGGCTCCTTTGTCTGCGCTGCCGGCTGCGCCCCCTGCCCGGCCCCAGCCTGGCCTGCCGGCCCCGCAGCCCTGCGCGCTCTTGGGGGGCCCGGCTCGCAGCCCCGGGCTCCCCGGCCCCAGCAGCGACTGGCCGGGAACATGCCCGCGGGCGGCGCTGGGAGCGGGGCGAGGGCTGGACCGAGCCCGCAGCCAGCCCCGGCCCTAACCAGCTTGTGCAGGGAGCGGGCGTTGCGCTGGGCAGGTCCTGCCAGCCTCCCCTGTGCCAGGCCAGCGTTCCTGAGCGGCGCCACCCGGCCAGGGGCGAGTTGGGGCGAGTCTGGGGCGTGGGAACGGCCCAGCAGCACGGGCAGGGGGGCAGGGGGCTGCGGGCCTGGGGCTGCCTGAGGCAGGTGGAAAGTGCTGGCCCCAGAGATCGCAGCTGGCCCTGGGCGAGGGTGGCCCGGTGCTTCACAGCCTGCAGCCCACGTGGGCGTGGCAGGGCCCAGCGCGGCTCCTGGCTGTGCCCAGGGGATGTCCCCAGGACCCAGCCCCCCACTCGCCCGCTCAGGGCCCCCCCGTCTGCCCGATCTGTAGCCTTGAATTGGGAACTCTCCTGCCTGCCAGGGCGTGAGCCTGCGGCACCGAGCCCCAGGGCTGAGCTGGCAGGTGGGTTCTGGGGTGGAGTGTTGGGAAGCAGCTTTGGGGCCTGTCTCTGCTGTTTCTGTCCCCCTGGAGCGTGGCACTGGCTCCTGCCCCATCTCTGCGGGCAGCACGAGGGTGCCAGCCCCCTCCAAGACTCTGCTGTCTGGGCACTGCCTGAAGGCTCCTCTGTCTGCTGGATTCCGGGCTCCCTCAGCATGGGGCAGAACAGGCCATGCCCTGGGACACAAGGGGGGATTGCGATGGGGGAGCTTCAGAGCCCTCCCTCTACAACTCTTAATTGTGTTGGAGTCTTGACTAGACCAGGCTCTGCCCCATGGCGAGAGGGAGGGGGGCTGAGGGAAGGCTCTGCCCCATGGCGAGAGGGAGGGGGGCTGAAGGGACGGGCTGTCTAGTGCATGTGGATCCCTGACCTTTCCCTGCTACTCTAGGCAGGAGGGTCCTGGCTTGTCCCTGTGGTGCTGGGCACAGGCCGCGCCGGGCTGCCCTGGAAGGTCTTGCCCAGCTGCACTTGGGGGTGAGCCCATCTCCCCTGCTTGACCCAGCCCCTGCCAGCCCACTCCCAGGGCTCTGGCCTGCTGGGAGGCAGGGGGAGAGCTGGCTGCCGATGCTGCAGCATTGCGGGCAATTTGGGGCAAACCCCACCCTGAGCACCTGACTTCTGCCCTGGGATGCGCTTGGAGCCGCAGCGGTTCGGGGTCGTAGGGGGTGGGGGTGTGAGAGTTGTTCTCTCCAGGCTGGGGGCTCCTCTGTGGTGATAACACTGAGAGTCCTGCCCCACAGATCACTCCGTCCGAGTGCCTGATTCCCCTGCCCCGTGGAGGGCCAGGGGAGCTGTTAGCCCCTTATCCCTTGGCTTTGGGGCACAGAGCACATGCGGGCCCCTTGCCTGTGCTGAGACCTGCTCCACCCCCAGGCCCTGTGGGCTTGGCCCCCTGGCAGGGATTGAGGTTGCTGATGCTCTGGGTGGGGGTGGGAGGGCTCAGGCTCGGCCTTTCCTGACACCCAGTGGTTACTGTGCCAGCCCGTCGCAAGGGAGCCGTGGCCTGCCCCCCTTTGCGTCTTTGTCCCGTGGCTTGGGGCCAGGTTCCCTGGTGGGAGCTGGCAGAGCAGGGTGGAGGCGGGGCCGGCTGATCCATTGGAATCCAGCGTCAGCCTTTGCCACGGCCGGTGCAGGGACTAGCTGGGCTGTGCTCACCAGGCGCTGCCCGGGGACCTGCCTCGGATAGCCCTGCTGCGGGGGCCGAGCTCCCTGGTGTCCTGCAGCAGAGAGGCTGGACTGTGGGCTGGGGGAGAGGCTCCCCAGGGTGCGCACCCCTAGTGCTGGCCATTCCCATTGGAGCCGCTCCCACGGGGCGTGGAGGTGGCCCGTGGGCCAGGGGGCACCTGGAACTCGGTCTGTGGCTGGGAGGCCAGGTCAGAACTAGTCGTAGTTTTCACTGCGCCCCCTAGGCAGCCCGTCCCCAGCCCTGTGTGTGCCCATGCCCAGGGAGCGATGTAGCAGGATGCCCATGGCAGCTGTCCTCCTTGGCTATGCCAGGCAGGTTCCCAACTGCCTAGCCCAGGAGAGGACCTGGGGCAGAGAGGAGGGGGGCAGCGGGGCTTGGCCTGCAGCCCTGTTTACATCCCAGGCTGTTGCCCAGTGAACACAGATGCCGCCAGCCCTGCCCTGCCCAGGGGAGGTGGATCGGCCAGGTGTCTGCTTTTAGCAGCCGGGGCTGGTGGGCGGGGCAGGGCAGTGTGAGCGCTTACCTGCCCAGCCCTCGTTAAACGGGCATTGCTGTCCCAGCCCACTGCCTGCCAGGGCAGGGCACAGCCTGGCGCTCCCTGCCTCCTGGGCACAGCTGCCAAGCTGCCCTCTCAGCCTGGCAGAGTAGGGGATTCAGCTGGACTGGGACTGCTCTCATCTGCCCTTGATGGGTCTGTCTCATGTTCCGGGTGGATTGACAGAGCGGGCACAGCTCAGACCCCTGCACCTCCTGGTCCCATTCCTGGGCCATAACTGCTAGACCTTGCTCCCTCCCATTGCCAGCGCTGCCCGGTCCAGCCTCAATCCTGCATGGCAGCCACTGGGAATCTGGATCCTACTGGAGCTGCCTCCGGGCCTGGCCGTGCACTGTGTGCGTGCGCACGGGCGTGTGAGCTCCCCTGGGCCTGGCCGTGCACTGTGTGCACCAGACTTCGCACAGGGGCCCGTGCTGGCCCCAGCAGCCCGGTGTGTGAGCAGCGTCCCTTCCCCCCACTGGTCTGTCACCGCCGATCAGCGCAGCGGGACACTGAGGCCTGCGCCTGGGGCAGGGGCTTTGTGCGCTCTCAGCTCGCGGCCCGGCGTGGCTCTGAGCCGTGGCCCCGGCTCCCCAGCCGCCCCGCCGAGCACATTCAGTTCCAGCAGGCTGAGCCTAATCGGAGCTGATGCCTTTTTGTTTCACGAGGCCGGCTGCCCGGTAGCTGTTTCAACAACAGGCTGGAGCCGAGTGCTGCGTGGGAGCCAGTGGCTGACACATCTGGCTGGGGAGCCCCCTCCCCTCCAGGTGTTGGGGACTGTGCATGCCAGGGCCTGGCCTGACCACCGGGGGAGAGGACCTGAGGCTGCTCCCCATGCACGACCCCCAAAGGTGACATGTGCAGTGGGGTGAGCCGGGCGCCAGTCTAGGCTGCAAGCACAGTTGTGTCAGGCCCTTGACCCCATTGGCTCTGCCTGTCTGGCCTGTGCTCCCTGGGAGCTGGCACCCGCTGGGTCCACCCCTCCGGCTGAAGTGCCCAGGAGGGGTGAGCAGGAATCTCGTCTCCCTGTCCCAGTGCCCTCCCCCTGCAGGCAGTGCCAGGGTCACCAGCACGGGAAACGGGCACAAAGGAATCTGTAAACCCAACACAAATCACCCCCGAGTTTCCCAGTTCCTTCCCTGGCGTTAGCTGGTGCCCTGTAACCCACCCTGGGGACACGCACGGACTCCAGGAGAAGCCGGGGCGGGGTGTGGGGGGTGCAGCTCTCAGGATGTGGGGCCCGGCTGGGACCGTTGGGTGTCACGGCCCACTCTGCCCCAGCTGCTGCTAAGCGTCTGGCTGCAGGAACTGCACCCCTCCTCCCAGGCAGCCGGCTCTGAGCCCACAGACAGCACGGGCACTGGTCAGCCCCTGGGCCAGACCTCCTTCTCCAGCTGCTGGGTACAGTGGGCAGATGGTGAGTGTGGCTGAACTCTGGGTGCTTTCCCCCACAGCCGCTCCGGCCAGGGTTTGATGGGTGCGGAGGGGGTACTGCTGTCCCTGACCTTCCCGGCCCCTCCTGGCACCATGGCTCCTCCCCCACCAGCTCCCTGCCCCCTTGCTGGCCCCCCTTAGCCCTCCTGGCACCATGTCTCTGTGCCCACTCACTGGCCCCTTCTCACTCCCCAGGTTCTTGCATGAAGACTATGCTGTCCAGGTCTCCATCAATGACTACCTGGACATCTACTGCCCGCACTACGAGCGCCCAGTGCCCGTGGGCCGGGCTGAGACCTTCAGCCTGCACATGGTGGACTCCGAGGGCTACCAGGGCTGCTACGAGACACCTGGTGCCTTCAAGCGCTGGGAGTGCAACCGGCCCCACGCACCCTTCGGGCCTGTCCGCTTCTCTGAGAAGATCCAGCGCTTCACGCCCTTCTCGCTGGGCTTCGAGTTCCAGCCGGGGGAGACCTACTACTACATCTGTGAGTGTCCCCCGGCCCCCCGCGCCCTGCCAAGCGGTGTTGGCTCCAGGCTGGGCTGTGGGTGTCCATGCAGCCAGGCGGCAGTGCCCTGGGAGGAGGCTCCTTCTCCGTTTCCCCAGCCTGCTGCAGTGTGCCAGGTGGGCAGGAGGGGGCGCCCCTTGCCCAGGTCTTGGCTCCTTCCTGGCAGGATGGGGGACGGTTTAGCTGGCTGCTGCCTGAATTGGGCCCTGGCTGGGCACCCCACTCCAGCCAGCCAGTGCCCACTGCCCCCAAGAGCTCGCTGACCCGGGCTGCCAGGGGCTGGGCTCTGAGAGGGGTGGGGCGCAGTTCCCCGGGGTCTCTTCCCCCCACACCCCAGGCCAGGGGTGCCCGCCCTGGGTGTTGGTCTGCTCGGGGTGGGCTGGGGGTCTGAGGCGGCTGGGCTGTCGGGGGCAGGGCTCCCCCAGGTTGTAGCCTCACGCCCCTCCCCTGCAGCGCTGGCCCTGGGGTGCGCTGAGATCCCCAAGGCCCGGGGGGGAGTGGCGGGCACTGCCCGGTGGGTGGGTGGGAAGGTGGGAGTAGCTGGGTGCGTTGGCGTCCCCCTAACGGGCTGGCCTGACGGTGACCCTGGCTGACCCTGCTTTCCCCCCGCCCCGAGGGAGGGGCTGGACTGATGGGTTTCCCAGCTGTGCGGGGGACGGGGGGGGCGACTCTCTTCTGCTGGGCCCAGGTGCTTCCTGCTGGGCTAAGACCCCCGCCTCGGAGCCGCCTGCCCCGCGCTTAGGAGCTGCTTGTAAATCCCCTAAGTGGCTCCTTGGGGGAGAGGGCCGAGCGTGCTGGGGGCTCCCGCAGGGGAGGGCCCTGGGTTCGGGGCAGGCCTGACTCCCAGCTGTGCCCATGTGGGCAGTGCCCTGACGTCCCTGTCTCTGCCCCCAGCTATCCCCAGCCCAGAGAGCTCCGGGCGGTGCCTGAGGCTACGAGTGGCCGTCTGCTGCAAGGCATCGAGTGAGTCCGTCTGGCCGGGCACTGGAGGGGCTGGGGGGGGGGCCGAGCGGGGCCCCCCCTTCCACGTGGCAGAAGCCTGCTAATGGGACCCAGACGAGGGGTGGGCACGAGCCCTGGGGAGGGGGAGGGGAGACAGCCCTGCCCTCCCGCTCTCAATCTAGACTCTTCCCAGAATCCCTTGCAGCGGGGGGAGGGCGGCTCTGTCTGGGGGACTCGAGGTGTCTGGCTGGTTTCATCCTGGGCATTAACCCTTTCCACCCTGACGCCTCTGCTGCTGGCGCCGGGGGGAGGGCACCCCTGATTTGGAGGGAGATGCCATGGACACCCCTACACCTTGTGAGGGGGGGCAGCAGCACATTGGTACAGGGAGGCTGGCCCGGGTCTGGGGGGGCAGCAGAAGGGCAGTGCCGGGGATCCCGGGGCCGGGGGTGGGGGAAGCTTCCTGTTGGAGACGGAGTCACTGACGGATTCTGGTTTTGATTTGTTTCCAGCAACAAAGCCTGTGACAGAAGTTCCCAAATCTCAGCCCCGTGGGAGAGGGGGGTCGGAGGGTGAGTATGTGGGGGGCGGGGGTGCTACCTCCCCAGGGAGGTGGGGGGCATAGGCAGGAGGAGGGTTCAGGGAGTGAGTATGTAGCGGGGGGGTGCTACATGCCTTGGGCGCGGGAGAATAGGCAGGAGGGGGTTCAGAGGGTGAGTATATAGTGGGGGGATGCTACATGCCTTGGGGGGGGGGCATGGGCAGGAGGGGGAGTGGGGGAGCTCACCATGACCAGCTCCCCCCAGCTCCCTGGGCCTTTTGCTCTTGTTCTCTCTGCAGACACCGAGCCGCCGGGTCACAGCACCGCGCTGGCCACGCTCCGGCCCCATGGCCCCTGCCTCAGCCTCGCCCTCATCCCTCTCCCCCTCCTGTGGCTCTGACCCGCCCTGCACTCCTCGGGGCGAGGAGGGGGGGAGGGGGTTGTCTCCTTGCTGCAGAGTTGGGGATTTTTGGACTTTGTCCCCCCAAAGCCCTCCAAGCAGCCATGCACTGTGGGGTGGGCGCCTTCGCCCCAGCTCGTACCCCCGGCTCCGCGGCTCCTGCCAGTCCCCAGAGCGCCCAGGCCGAGGTGCTGGAGCCCAGGATGTGCTGGACCCAGAGATGCCCCGTGCTGGCATTCGGCTGGAGGAGGAGAGGCTGGCTGGGCGGTAAGAGGGGGTGCCCTGGTGGAGGGCAGGTACCAGGGATGTTAGCAAGGCCAGGGTGGCTGGGACTGGCCGGGAAGCCTCCAGGCTGGGAGCTGGGGCACAGGGAGGAGCTGGGGGCTCACAGTGGGAGGTTGGGGGGGCCCTGGTGCTGGTAGGCTGTGGGGGTAAAGGGAGCTCTGGATAGAAGTGCCCCCCCGTCTGCTCCATCTTCGGGAGAGGTGATTTGCCATGGGGGCGGATCCCAGGCAGGCTCCCCCTTGGTGTTGATTTCTGGGCCCCGGTTCCTAGCTCAGCACTCAGGTCCCTGGGCACCATGCCCGCCCCTCCTGCTCTAGCCTGCAAGGGGGCAGGCCTGATGCTGACTTCCCAGCCCGGCGTGCTCCCTGACGGGCTCTCTCCCTCCCCAGGGCCCTTCTCCGTCACCGACGCACCCGCTGCTGCCGGTCAGACGCCCGCCTCCATCCTGGCCTCATTGGCACCTCCTGGTGGTCAGGGCTCCTTGCCCCTGTGAAATGGGCCTTTGCTTATGGACGACTCCCAGAGACTCCAGCAGGAGGGACCCTGCCGGGCGGTCTGTCGCCGGGGGGACCTCCTCCCCACCTGGCACATTCCCAAAGGCCCCATGGGGAGTCGGAGGATCCTGTTGGTTCTGGCCCTGCAGAGTTCGGCCCTGGACAGCACCCGGGATTGACCCCCCCTTTCACTGGCAGGGCTGGATTGTCTCCCCGGAGCCCCGGCCCACCTTGGCCCCTGGTGCTGGGCGCCAGCCCGGTAAAGCCCCTCGCTCTGGCGAGGCTGATCTGTCTTCCGTGAAGACGCCCCCTGGGCCGTGTACAGTTTCTATTTTTGTATCTGTGTTTAGCGACTGAGCCAACGAATAAAGCATTTGCAAGACGCCGGCGGCTCCGCTGGCCCCTCTGGGACTGGGCAAGAGCAGACGCACCCGCTACCCGCCAGCCCCTGAGGCTGCAGCTGGGCGATGCCCAGGCCACGTGCCCTGCGCTGCTCCCCTCGCCCTAGGGGCGGCTCTCAGAGGAGCGGCTGAGCCCCGGCCTTGCTGCTGGTCCATACCGTGCCCAGCTGTGCCCCCACCCTGGCCCCTGCTCTCCCCCCAGGCCCTGCCCCATGGGGCTGGCTCTGGGTGATGCTGCCTCAATCTCTGGCTCAGCTGGCTGGGCAATGGGTCCCTGGGAGAGGCCTGTGGGTCTGGAGTGAGAGGTAGGGGGAGCCCCGTGTGGGATCGTGGGGGCCCGCCCTGGCCTTGGCGAAGCTCCCACAATCCCAGCTGACGCGGAGCTTCTCCTGGCCACGAGGGGCCATGCAGGGGGCTCCCCCTCTGCCTGTTGCCTCAGCGCAGCAGCTGGGCTGGGGGGCCCAGCATCACTGGGGGACCCCTGGGAAAGGGAGGGTGTGTTGTGCTCCCCCCACCCCCCCGCTCTCCGGGTCTTAGGGAGCCTGTAGCAGGCCCGCGTGTGGGGGTTGGGGGGGCGTGTGTTCAGATGGAGGGGGCGCTGGCAGGCGAGGGGCGCATGGTGGGTTGGCTCATCGTCCCCTTTCCTGCTGGGGGTTTAATTGCTGAGAGTGAGATCGAGCCGGGGGCTAAGCTGTAATTACAGCTCATCCGCCTTCGGGGAGCCGGGGCCCCGCTCGTGGCCACGCATGCCCAGCAGGGGGCGACCCGTCGAGCGGTGGGGCCCTCCAGCAGGGGGCGCTGCTCTGCGGGCCAGGTGGGGGCTAGCGGGAGCTGTGTGCGGAGGCCGGGGCCACCTGCCCTGATTGATGGCACCAGCAGCCTGCAGCACGGCCAGGCTGGGTTTCCGCGGAGACGGGGGGGAGCAGGGAATCGATAACCGGTCAGCGCGGCGGAGCCAGTGTGGGCACCGCCGGGCACATCCCCCCGGCTCTCCTGGGGATGGTCTTGTGGGGGGGCCTGGGGGCACCAGGAGACGGCTCCCTAGGGCAGGGGCTGCTGTCTGGGCTGCGTAGGGGAGACTAATCCAGCAGTCAGGGGTGGCTGGGCTCTGTGGGGTGGGAACGGGCAGGGGGTGCCCCACTCAGTCACCGCTCTCCTGCCTGGTACCAATTCTCTGCCCCAGGGAGCTGCTCTCTGGGGCCCCCGAGGGCCTGCAGGGAGCCCGGCAGGCGGGGTGCCCTGTCCCTTGGCCCAGGGCTGTTGCTGCAGGCAAGGGTAACTCTCCCCGGAGCCAGCGGCTGCTCGCTGCCCCCGGCAGGGCTCAGGCTGGTGCCCGGCCAGCGATCGATGGGGAACGTTGCGCTGATTAGCCAAGTGAGCTGGCTGCAGCGCCGGGAGATGTTAACAGCGAGACGCAGCCGGAGAGACACCCCGGGGAGGATCCGAGGGGGGGAGGGGCAGGCCTGCAGGGCGCCGGGGGGCAGCGTGGGGGTGAAGGGTGAGCGGAGAGTTGGGGCCTCACTGTGCTGTGCTCAGCCCGGGGCACTGAGACGCGAGTGGGCTGCAGCCCGAGACCAGGGCTGGGGTGTCCTCCTCTCCCCCCACCCCGGCTGGCACGCAGCCCCCCATCTCCTCTCGTGCCCCCAAAGCCTCTTGGTAAAAGAATAAACTGGGCCGTGAGTTCCTGAGAGCAGAGGGCGGCCCCCCACCCCAGGCAGTAAGTGCTCTTCCCCACCCCCTGCGGAGCAGCAGGTGCATGGGGCCCAGCTGGTGGCTGGCATGTGGGGCGGGCACCTCGCTGCCAGGGAGATGTTAATTTCCAGGCTGTCATTGCTGCGTGTTGCTGGCAACGCGACAACAAGGAGGCGGCAGTCGCATCCGTGCTCAGATCAACAACTGTGAGTGACTCCTGCAATGCAGAGCTCCCCTGCCCCTGGCGCTGCCAGCTCCCCCGCACCAGTGTCCCGCCGGGGCCCCTGGCGCTGCCAGCTCCCCCGCACCAGTGTCCCGCCGGGGCCCCTGGCGCTGCCAGCTCCCCCGCACCAGTGTCCCGCCGGGGCCCCTGGCGCTGCCAGCTCCCCCACCGTGTCCCCCGGGCCCCTGGCGCTCCAGCTCCCCCACCAGTGTCCCGGCCAGCTCCCCGCACCAGTGTCCCGCCGGGGCCCCTGGCGCTGCCACTCCCCCGCACCAGTGTCCCGCGGCCCCTGGCGCTGCCACTCCCCCCACCAGTGTCCCGCCGGGCCTCGCTGCCGCTCCCCCGCACCAGTGTCCCGCCGGGCGCTGCCAGCTCCCCCGCACCAGTGTCCCGCCGGGGCCCCTGGCGCTGCCAGCTCCCCCGCACCAGTGTCCCGCCGGGGGCCCCTGGCGCTGCCAGCTCCCCCGCACCAGTGTCCCGCTGGGCTTTCCTGTGGCAATGCCCAGGTGCCACATCTCTGCCCACCCTCTGCTCTTCAGCAGCACCCGGGAATGAGCTGCAATTGTACGTTCCCAATGAAAACAGCTGTAAAAAGCCCGTCCCGTGGATTTATTCCCTGGAGCTGGTGCCCCCGCCCCGCCTAAATGAGGCAATTAGAATACGCAGCGCGGATAGGTGCTAGGGGAGAATTAGTGCCAGCCATAAAGCAGCGTGACTGGCCTGGTTATGAGCCCATCCATCCCCCGGCAGTGCCCACAAATCTGCCAGCCCTGTGCAGCTGTGTCTGCAGGGAGGCAGCCCCACCCCTAGCTGTGCAGGCCCCCGCTGCCCCTCTGCCTGGCAAGGGCTGGGCACTGGCCATGGGGCTTCCCCGCCAGGGGGCCCCGCCGGGGCGGGCTGGCCCATGGCTGAGCCCTGGTGCCTGCAGAGAAATGCTGGGAATAGAGACCTGACTTCCCCCTGCCCCACTGGTGGGGGCTGACTCAGGGTTTTGGACCACTGGGGTTGTCCCCCCCACCCCCGCAATCCCTGCACCCCCCTTGGGCCCTGTGGGCCTGGGTTGGAAATTTATGCTCCGGAGCTCCCGAGTGGCCGCCCCCCCCCCGATGTTTCCCAGGCAGATGACTGCTCCAGCAGCCCCATGCCCATGTGCCCAGCGGGGTCACATCCGCCAGCATTCACCCTTTCCTACCCTGTGTGCCCTGAGCCCAGGGGGGCAGGGCCCCTGGGCCTGACACGCCTCCCACAGGGGGAGCGCCCCAGGGTGCCCCTAGCTACCCAGTCACCAGCCCAGCAGAAGGGGAAAGCCCCCCTGGGGTGGGAGAGCACAGTCACTCTCCATCTGCAGCCCCCCAAGTGGCACCTGTCTATGGGGGGAGGGGACAAGTACCCCATGTATCTAGAGGGTAACATGGCCTGGAGTCCCCCTTGCACCGGCGGGCCAGCCCCCACCAATTGCAATGGCAGAGCTGGGGTGGGGCTGGGCCTCGGCTTCTGACTACCCAGGAGAGTTGGAGAGACGGAGGAGGGTAGAGCAGGGGGGTTGGGAGCCAGGACTCCTGGGTTCTGCCCCTGGCTTTGCCACTGGAGTTGTTGCAAGGCTCTGGACGTGTCCCTGCCCCTCTCTGTGACTCAGTTTCCCCTGTGCCTAGGGGCTAACCCCCAGTTCAGTGTGTTGGGCTGTGGGGCTGGGGCCCAGAGCCCAGGGCAGTGCTGGAGCATGCAGGGGTTTGCGATGCTTGCTCCTGGCCACGCCCCACGTCCTCTCCAGCCCTTCAGGGTCTTTCCCTGCCCCCCGGCCCTCAGTCCTTTGGCTCCAGGAGCAGAGCTGGGCTGGCCTGCAGTTCTGTGCCTGGGGAGCAGCGGGGCGGCTGTCGCAGCCAGCACCACAGCGTGTCAATTTCACGGCCCCTTATGTGGAACATGCAGCTTGATCCCTCTGGTCTAGCTCCGGGCAGCCTGCGCCACCCGCCTCTGGGTCCTGCAGCCTCTGCCATGAAGCGGGGGGCATTGCCCAAGCAGGGGTCCCCCCGTAACCTCCTCCTGAGCAGGGTTCCCCACCAGGCCATTGCCCCCCATGCTGCCGGCAGAGCTCCCCTGGGGGCTCTGGGCTGTTGGTCAACACCATGCCCCAGGGGCCTGGTGCCCTGCGTCCGTGCTGACACCATGCAGAGACACTGCCCTGCTCTGAATGTCCCCAAGAGAGAGAGGAACCCAGTGAAGCCAGAGAGCCCCAGGGTCGGTGCTATGCCCCTGGCTCTCGGGGGAACCCTTTTATGTGCCAGACCCCCAGGGGTCCCCCTCGTCCCCCAGGGCAGGGCAGGCTCCCAGCGTGGGGCTCCATTCCTCCTGCTTTGCCCCAGCGGTGCAGCCCAGCGAGTCCCCCTGAGCCAGACGCTGGGCAGAAGCCCGTCCGCTCTGCAGGGCTAGGCCCCTCACCCAGTATTTGCAGTGCCCCCCAAACCGCGCTGTCAGAACAGTGGCGTTTATTAGCCAAGGGGCCCACACCGCTGGTAGGTCAGCCCAGAGCAGTGCAGCCCAGAGCTAGTCCCCAACCAACTGTGGGGAGCTCTGTTTTCAGGGGGTCTCTCTCTGGCTTCCTCCCGTAGTTCCCAGGTGAGTGAGCTCCACCCCTGGGTTCTTCAGCTGGGGGGTCTCTGCTCTGCTTCCCCAGGGTGTGTCCGGCCGTGGGGCTCGCGCTGACTCTGGCCCCCTTGTTGACCTGGGTGGGTTTCAGCCAGTTCCTTAAAGGTTCTGTTCTGCCCCCACCCCATGGCTCTTAGCCTGCCCTGCATGGAAACTTAATCCTGCCCTCACCCTGGGAGCAATGCAAAGTGCAGGGGAAACTGAGGCACACCAAGGAATCAAAGCAATATTACAAAAAATTCCCACTTCATCATAGTGGGGGAGGGAGCGAGGGAGGGGGGTGGTGCTGGACATGGCTCACCCCCAGGGAGGACAGAGAACCCAGTGTGGGGAGCTGCTGCTGGGCTGTCTCTGGGGGGAGGGAGAGGCTGGCAGCCCCAAACAGGCCGTGCCTGTGGTTCCTCATTGCCTTGAGATCTGCAG